GGGGGGGGGCTCCAGGTGGTGAGAAGCAGAGCAGCACTGGCTCTTCCGCAGCCTTCCTGTGAGACAATGCAGGCATGGAAAGTTCCGGGGGCCGGAGGGTCGGGGGCATGTAGCCAGCATCCCCTTGGCCAATGTCCATGGTCCACTCACCCAGCTTCTCCTGATCTTTCTCCATCCACAAAAATGGAGGCTGTGGATGTGACCTTGGCATTTGGGGGCACGGGGCCCGTAGCTATGCAGGAGGTAGCAGAGTGGGTGAAGTGCTGAAGAGCCGGGCCCAAGCCTTTGGGTTTCCTGCAGGAGACCTCCAACAGGCGATGTAGAAGCACAGGGAGGCCTAGAGGGAGGGGAGATTTGGCTAAAGTCACAAGGCAGGCAGGCCTGGAACGTGGACCTGCCCCAGGCAGCCTGAGGCTGTGCCTCTTCTATGACGAGAGGCAGGTGGGGACCCTAAAACCCACTCGGTGGGCAAGGCACAGAGGCCAACCCTCTCAAGGACTGGAATGCACAGAAAGCCGGATCTTCGTCAAACACGTTGGCTGTGAGTGGTGGCATTGGAAAAAGAGGCCCCAACCCTATTCTCCTACCTGGGGCATGTGCGTGCCCACAGTCCTCCGGGGTGCCCAGTGACCCCACATTTGCGTTGCAGGTGCGCTTCCTGGAGCAGCAGAACAAGCTGCTGGAGACCAAGTGGAACTTCCTGCAGCAGCAGCGGTGCTGCCAGAGCAACATCGAGCCCATCTTTGAGACCTACATCTGCGCCCTCCGGAGGCAGCTGGACTGTGTGGCCGGGGACCGGGCCACGCTGGAGTCGGAGCTCGGGAGCCTCCAGGACGTGCTGGAGGGCTACAAGAAAAAGTGAGTCTGCCCGCCTTCGCCCCAGTGAGGGCTGACGTGCGCCCCAACGGTGGAGCCGGACAGACGTCACCACCAGTCAGCCGGGGACCTAGGGCCAGCTACTTAAACAACCTGGACCTCATGTTTCCCAGCTTAAGCTAGGAAGCCTAAAACTTAGGTATGGGAGAAAGATGAGGCTGTCGCAAGGAAACTCAAAGGGGGCAGTTCAACCCTGTCCTTCAGGGTCCCTGTGAGCCGGCATCCACTTGATGGCAGTGAGTGAGACCCGGAGCTCGAGCGGCATAGTCGGTTGTGTGTTGGGCGGGGTTAGCAGTTCGAAACCATCCAACCTTCCATGAGAGAAAGACGAGACTTTCTACTCCCATGGTCAAGAGCTGCGGTCTCAGAAACCCACAGGCAGTTCTACCCTTTCCTGTAGGGCTGCCGGAGGTCAGAATTGACTCGGTGACAGCGAGCCTGAGTTTTCAGACTCCCTTCTGCCCGATCAGCCTGGTCTCTCAGAAACATTTCTTCCTGCGACTTGCAGACAGATGTGTCCGTGGTGGTGGAGGTGGTTGCCTTGAGTTGACGTGTGCAGGGTGGAACTGCACAGTCTCAGTGCCTGTTCCCAAGCAGATTGCCATGCTTGCCTTCCAAGGACCCTCGGGGTGGCTTTGATCGACCAGCCCTTCTGCCACTCACTGCCACGAGTTCGAGGCTGACCCATAGCAACCCCTGTAACTGCTTACAGGAGCAGAAACCCGGTCTTCCTCCCTGGGAGCTGCTGGTGGTTTCTAACTGCGGACCATGCGGATCGCGACCCAACACGTGACCATGACACCACCCAGGGCTCCTTTCTGTCCAGTCAGGTGCTTAAGCAGCCAGGGACTCCCACAGGCCGGAGAAGACCACATTCTCTCCCAATGCCTGACTTCTCCCTTCCTGCATCCCCTCCTGCCTGGCTGGAACCCTGCAGGGCTTATCTCCCTCCCTCCCTCCCCTCCCCCAGGCTTTGTGGTCTGGCTGGGAGTTGCCCATCCTGCTAGACTAGCCCTCTCCGGGCCAGGCTCTAGCGTCTGGCTCCCAGCCTGGAGTGGGTAGCTGCAAAGCCCACTGTTAATGACGGTGTACAGTGTCTGTAGGTTGTAAACCAGATAAGTTGCTATCACATTCCAGTGGGCGGGAGGGGAGAGGCTGAGGCAGGCACATTTCCAGAGACAGGAAGCAAGGGCAAATGTACTGAGAGCAGTGATGGATACGATGTGGGTCCATGCAGGGCAGCCCGATCGGGGGTGTGTCTCAGGTGCGGTGTGTGCTAGTGGTGGTGTGGGAAGTTCTAAAGTTACAAAGCCAGCAAGTGCCAGACCTTGTGGTGGGAGGTGTAGGTGTTTGAGAGAAGGTGGGGGGGAAAGGCTGGTCCCTGCCTGCAAGATGCCCCCGTCCAGTGGGCAGAAGGTCAGAGCAAGGGAAAAAGGGAGTCTCCAGTGAGGAAGAGAGCCCAAGGAACTCGGGGATGCTTCCTGAAGGAGGTGTCTTCTGCTTGAGACCTTGAGGGGTGAGATCCATCGAGTGACTTCTTAATGCAAGTTGACCAGGGGAGATTTGGGAAGGGACAGAGGCAGATGTCACGACAGTGGCAGAGAGAGGGGGAGAGAGAACGATTCAGGCAAAGGCTGCCACCCAGACAAGACAGGACAAAGGCCGGGGACCTGGGGGCGGGGGTGGGGTGGGGATGTTCTGCTGCGTCAGAAAGGACCTTTCCAAGGAGTGAGGTACAAGGTAAGAGGAAGGTGGTCGGGAGACAGCACACCTCGGGCTGAGAACGTGGGATGGAAGCAGCAAGGGTGGCGGCGGCAGCTGAACCAGCAGCAGGCAAGGTCAACAGCCACAGGGATCCTCACCATCCCAGCGAGCACACCCACTGCTCGTCCTCACCAGTGTCCCCGAGGGCTGCGCCCCACTTCCCTCTCCTGCTAAAGGCACTGGGTGGATCTGTGACCAGGGACCGTGGCGGGGACTCACCAGGTGATGAAACAGGGCCCAGAGAGGTTAGGAAACATATCTCAAGTCACAAGCTGGGGTGCAGACCCAGGCTGGCCACCCGGGCCCACAGGGAAAAGGAAAGATGGGCATCAGGAAGCTCAGCGAAGACTTTCCTGGAGGCAAGTCCCTCATCAAACAGAGACATTCTAAGCACCCCCACCCCTCACCCCAGAGCCTGATCTCCCGGCCCCGAGGAACTCCCTTGGAGTCCCGGAAGTGCTTGGGCTGCCTCGACAGGCCTGGGAAAGTGGGCCATTGCCAGACTGGCTGGGTTCACAAGCTCCTGGTGAGGAGGTGCCATAGGCCTGCCAGGAAGCTGAGTGGCCACAGCCACCACTCGGCACAGCTGTGATGCCCAGACAAAGCAGTGTGTGCTGGGCACAGTCAGCCACCTCTCCTCTGCTCCCCCCTAACCCCCCGAGAGACCCAAAGGGGGCCTGTCCCCAACCCAACTCCACCCCCCCCAGGACCACCCCCCAGGAGACCCAAGGGGGCCCTGCGCGGGCTTCCGCAGCAGACAGATAGAATGGAGGAAACTTCTAGAAGGACTTTATCAGATGGTGATTCATCATTAAAAACAGGTTCCCGGAACTAGGGGTGTGTGTGGGGGTGGGGTAGAGGGTCAACTTGAAGAGTGGCTAAGGAGAGATGGTGATGACAATCATTTGTCTTGGAAGGCAGGAAAGGCTAGAAGTGCCCAGAGACAGGTGACTGGACCTGGTGACCCCTTGGGGCAGAGAGACCAGGGAGCCCCATCAGTTAGCACAGAGAGGCAAACCTGGAGCCCAAAGACCTGAAACCAAGGCCCCTCTCCTTGTGCTCTTCCCCCCCACGCCCCCCTCCCCCCCCCAGGTATGAAGAGGAGCTCTCCCTGCGGCCCTGTGCAGAGAATGAGTTTGTCGCCTTGAAGAAGGTAAGCCAGGTGGCATGGCGTGGCATGGCAGAAGGACCCTGGGCTGGCATGGCTGGATTAGAACATTCAGCTCCTGGACTTCTGCCCATCCACCCCACTCAGATTTCTGCCCCAGGCCCCTGAAAAGAGAGAAGGCAGTCCCCTCCCATGCCTTGAAAGGGGGCAGTCCCTGGCCTAGCCTCCACTTCCATACTCACAGAGCAAGGGTGGGGTCGACAACCGCTCAGGAACCCAACGAGGTGGCGGAGGTCAAACCAAACACAAAGGGACACCCCAAGCTGACAAAGCGCGTGGCGAGCCCTCAGGCAGAGAGCCACACGGTTCCAGGCCTGATCTTCAGCTGCTACATCCCTGCTCCCTCCAGAGCCTGCCCCCAC